GCATGAGTATACTCATGCAGGACACATGACCATACGACTATACTATAGTCGTATAGTATAGTCCAGCATGACTATACTATACGATTATATCCATCGAACACTATTATGTTCCCACCAAAGTGGTACCTATTAATCTATTCACATTTGCAAGCTTTTGAACTGCTAGATGGGCAGGAACAGGAGCTCACCCTATTGTGTGGTGCTCAGGTCTTGAATCTAGGCTTTCCAGCTGACAAGTTCAGTGTCTTTAACTGCTGACTCATCACACCCTCAGAATGGAGACTATTCCCTACCCCACCCCCACCCCCAAGTGATATGTTCAGCCATCAAAATCCTTGTCCCTGAACCATATATTAATGCAAAAAGGCTGCTTCTAAGAGCCAGTTTGTTCTAATGGTTAAGATGCTGGCCTACACATTGGGAAACGGTGAATTCTAGCCCTGCCTTAGGCTCAAAAGCTAGCTGGGTGACTTTGGGCCTGTCACTCTTTTTCAGCCCAGCCTGAGGCTGTTGTGGGAAACATAGGAGGAGAAAGTAATATCAGGTATGTTCGCCACCCTGAGTTACTTACAAAGTATAAAAGTGGGATAAAAGTGAAATGTATGTATGTACGTATGTATGTATATATTTCAGTTCCTTTTTAGGCTGAAGCCTCAAGAGGCTTTGCAAATATTATCAGGTATATAGTTTTCCAGTTGTTTTCCTTAGAAGCCCAGACGTGCTGTTAAGGAAAAATCCTTGAAGCAGAATTGCAATTAGTGGCAATTCAAGCTCTCACTGAAATTTCAAGGATCAAAGATGTTAGGCAGCCAGGCATATAAAATCTCAACTCTTAACCCTGAATTAATGCTTCTATACCACAGGGGCAAGAAAGGTATGTCCCTCGGGTTGCGATTTTACCCCTGGGCACAGGTAATGACCTATCAAATACCCTCGGCTGGGACACTGGCTATACTGGGGAAGTTCCAGTGGAGCAGATTCTACACAACATCATGGATGCAGATGAAATCCGGTTGGACAGGTGAGTGCTTCAAAGCAAAACCTCTTTCAAACTCCAGCTCCTGCCTTCCAAAATAAAATTCCCCTTTGAATTGGATCGGGAATCCAATCCCTTGAAGTTTACCAAGGGCTTTCACATGGGTCTTTAGGAAACTGGAAGAACTTTCTTTTTCATTAAATACAAGTTTACATTATGGTTGCATTGGCATTAGAACATTTCTTGTATTGATTATTCTATTTCTAATATTGTTTTAAGCCATATATAATATCATGTATGTATGTATGTATGTATGTATGTATGTATGTATGGATGGATGGATGGATGGATGGATGGATGGATGGATGGATGGATGGATGGATGGATATATAAGCACAAAATCCCCTTGGTGGATTTTTTTTTATCATGCAGGGCATTTTTGGATTCTGCCAATTGAGGGTAAGGCAGCTTGGTCTGTGATCTATCAAAGCTTTCCATTTCCTGCATAATGTTTCCTCCAAGTCTGTGTTTATTATATTCACCTGACAGTCAAGGTGAAATTATTTTCAAGGATCTCTGAGACAAAAAGCAACATTATGTTAGCTAATCCATTCTTAATGAACAAAAATTAAGGGATAGTATTGTACATAAGTAGGCGGTATGTGGCATCTAGATTATTAAGATGCCCATGGTCATCTCCATTCACAGCTGCTGGTCTTTCTGCCCCACCTGATTTTAATTAATATTTTAGGTTCTACATTTAAATACATTGAAAGCCAACATTCTGTAAAACCACACAACAATCTTCAGCACCATCTTTGCTTATAAGCATTCCTCTGAGCTTCAGATAGGTATTAAAAAAATAAAAATATAGAAAAGCACCCACATCTCCATAAAAAGACAATGTTATTCTAAGAATTGGCGCAAGCATCTTGAGAAGCTAGAAAAGTAGCAAGGAACAATCTTTGCAGTTTGCCTTTGGGTGAAAGGAGTTATATGGCAAGATGTGCCCACCAAGATAAACATTTTGTGAATAGATCAGCCCATTCAAGTGGCAAATCTAAGGGCCTGCCACTCCCAGGTAACTCACAAAATGAACCCAGGAAGTCCTAAAAATGTATTGAAAACATTGTTTAGCAATTTTTCATTTCCCCTAAAAAACATTGCGACTTATTCAGAGTGCCATTCTTAGCTCTTCGTTTTCTGCTTGTTTTGCCATGTAAGATGCCAACCTGTGCGTTCTTTCTTAGGTGGAAGGTTCAGGTAATAAACAAAGGATACTACAACTTAAGAAAATTGAAGGTAAGGCTTGGAAATGTTTTTGTATAGTGATGAAAATGCTATAGCATAAGAACCTAATCCTCTCTGGGTAGGTGGGTAACTTCTGGTGATCTGCTTGGACCTGCTAGATTCTGGGATCCTTGGATCCAGAAAGATTCTTAAGCAAGCATGCTTGTTCAGGAGAACTGGGTAAAATTTAGAGCAATCCTAGTGTGAAGTACAAAAAAAGTGGATTATCTACTATTTGTAAGATTCTGCCAGCTCATAGGAGAAAAAAAAACTACATTAACCTTTTTTCCTCTGAAGGCTTGTAATTGACAGTTTAGGAATGGGATATATCCATGTTAGTCTGAACTTGTGACATTTCAGGAGAAGAGAAGAATGTTGCTAGTGCAGAGATCCCTTCCCCCCCCCCTCCCCATAGTTTTTCAGAGGGGATGTAATTCTCAACCATCCTACTCTCTGCCAGAGAATAAAATTTGGTCTAGTCTTCCTGCTGTTCCTTAGCTGCAAAGAGACATCAGAATTTTTTCCCTTTAATGTTGGTAAAGCGCAGCAGTGCTGAGCAGGAGGCAGAACAGAATGTTCAGATCCACATACATTCTTCAAAAACGATATTGCATGACCCGACTGGACTTCCTTTTTCAGCTTCAGGGCATTACTTAAACCCCAGGTCTTTTAAAATGAAAAACACAAACAAATAGTGTTCCTTGACGTGTGTGTTTTGCAAAACTGACTCTTACAATTTTTTTGAAAAATNGATTTTGCAGTAACCTTCCCCTGGAGTGGGGAGGGAATGGAGATTTTATCCCATGTTGAGGTTATATTTATCAATACTGTTATATATATATTTACTGTTAAATGGGTTGTCAGAATTAAGCACATGAAAGACAGAAAAAATAACATATTATTTTGACATGTTTCAAGTGGAAATTATGTTATGTGAGGTTAGAATATTTGCCACCAAAATAGTGTTTATTTATGCTAATTAACTGTGGCCTTATGGATTTGCCAGCAAATTACCTTACCATTAATATCTATTTCTTTAAGTTGTGTTATCAGGGATTAGAACTCCAGTCTGTCTGCAAAATCAGTGTTCTACCACTATATTGTGAGCCTTTGTTCATTTGTTAAAAATGTGGTGGAGGGGAGACCTGGTCAAGTAGCATTTCTGATGAATCAAAGAAAAGGGATAATTTTGTTTTTTCACCACAAACCTGCTGCAAATCATGATTCTTTCTTCCCTTGTTTACCGAAGTACTATCCTCATTTGGCAGATTCACACATTGTATAAAACCTAGGGCTGCCTGTGTGTATGAGTTGCAAAAATCCAGATGATCACAAGATGTCAGCAAAGAGTAAGAAATTAAGTTGTCAAATTTGTTGCAGCTCAGATTTTGTAGCCATAGGTAAGACCCAATGTGATTTTGTTGTTTTGAGCAGAGTGTTAATATGTAAACCAGAGTACTATAACTTATGGAACAAATTATACTTTAAAAAGTCTTGCAGAATTCCAGACTTAAATTGTTAAAGGAGGAAAAAATGCTAAGAATCGTTCTGAAATTATTTAATGAAATTAATTTTAACTTAAAGTAAAATCACCAGAAGTGGTATTCAGCAGATTCTGACCAGTTTTGGAAAACCAGTAGGAGAAATTTTGAGTAGTTCAGAGAACCGGTAAATACCAGCTGTGACTGGCCGTGCCCCCATCTATTCTCCACCTCCTAAGTCCCAGCTGATCAGGAGGGAATGGGGATTTTACAGTAACCTTCTCCTGGAATGGGGACGGAATGGAGATTCTTACAATATCCTTCCCCTGCCATGCCCACCAAGCCATGCCCACAGAACCGGTAGTAAAAAAAATTGAATCCCACCACTGTTCATCACATAAAATTATAATCAACATTTGTTATCTAATTCAATGAGCAAAACAAGACAAATAAAAAACAGGGTTTGTCCTAAGCATATATGAGGTGAAGCAATAAACATAAAGCTAATAATAAATAGTTGTACAATAGTGGCAGATATCTGTAGCTCNAATTTGCATCTTTAAAATCTTGGTGCGTCTTATACTCCGAAAAATACGGTAGCTTGATTGTGGTTTAAAAGACTTATACAGATCGGTTTTGCAATCTAAATATAGGCTCTAAGATCTATTGTGAATATTAACTTTTCTGTACCTGTATATTAAGCACTACCAGGACAAATAGAAAGGATATGTTTGAGTTCTAACAGGCTGTAGGTTATGTTGACTATTTCAAAATGGCAATCATATGAAAATCAGAATAAATCATATATGTGAATCATGGTTTAGTCTTACATTGAACAGGAAAATTGGTATTTCCTATAAATTATAAAGCAATTTATTTTCCTCTAAGTAATTTGCAAGAGTACATTTTCTCTTTTCCAATTTTAAGAGTTAATTTTACAACAACATGAGGAAAAAAATAAGAGGGTGATGTTATTTTGTGACTATGCAGATCTAAATAGCTTGCTTCTGCCTTTTTTTCCCCAGCTATCTGAGTCTTATGGGAAAAATTGGACCCCAGTAATAATTCTGGTCAATACTCGGAGTGGAAACACTATGGGGGAAACACTGTTAGGACAATTCAAGATCTTATTAAATCCAATTCAGGTAATTGTATTGATACAATGAAACTGAAGATGAGCTAGATTTGTTCCTTAAGTAAGAAATCAAACATAACTTAAGACATCCTTAAGATTTGTTTTTATTTTTTAAATAGGTTAAAAATATTAAAAACTCACTTAAGGAATTATTATCACTGTGGTCAAGATGGATTCAATTGAAGAAACATGCATAACATTGCAGTATAGAAATGAGCATGATACTGTTCAGCGGGGTTTCTCAAGACACCGAGAATGAATTCCACAGATACCCTGTTTCCCTGAAAATAAGATCTCCCCAGATAATAAGCCCAATAAGGCTTTTGAGCGTATGCACTAAAATAAGCCCTCCCCAAAAATATTGCAATACAGCAGCAGCCAAGAGGTGACCACACTTGCTGCCTCCTGCACCTCAAAAATAATAAGACCTCCCCAAAAATAAGGCCAAGTGCTTATTTCGGGGTCAAAAGAAAATAAGACTCTGTCTTATTTTGGGGAAAACACGGTATATAAATCTTCTAAATAAATAAATATAGTGCCCATATTATTTTACCGTACAATGATACCTTGCAAATATGCCATATCATTTGAAAAATGTTTTTCCAATTGTTTTGGAGACTACATTGTGACCAGCCCTGTTGCTCACAAGATTTAACAAATGTCACAAGATGGCAAATATTTTCCTTACGAAAGGATTTGTATAGCACTTTCTTTCAATAGTCACCACTTGGATAACATGCCATTCAGGGGTAAAGTCTAGCTGGTGTTACTGCCGGTTCGCATGTTTGTGTGTTGGATGCGCACTGTGTGTGCATGCACAATTCAATGAAAATTTTTCTGCACATGTGCAGAACTCAAAAACAAGAGACAGTGGCGACTGGGGAACCAGTTCGGAGGCATGTCCAGCCTGGGTCGTTGCTGGTTCTGCACCTCTGGTCCCATTGATGGTGAAACGTTAATGAATGCTGCAGAATAATTAGAGTGCACTTGCAGTACATTCTGTGGTAATGTAGAAGGACCCTTACTCCTTAACTTTTTATTTTTTAATTACAGCTTTTACCTCTATAGCTTTTTTCTTGAACACTTTCTTGAATATTTTAAAAAGAAAAGAAACAAGTGTGCTTTCCTTGTCCCTTCCATGCTTTGTTATATATTTCAAGCCTTTGCTAAAATCTTCAATTTACCATTGGAAATATTTCGAATTTTCTTCCTCTGTTAATTATCTGAACTCAACATGCTATCCCTTCAGTTTCTTGTTCCACAGGACTGGAAAATGTGCTTAAATGATTCCAGGTTCTCAGTGTTACTCTGCAGTGAATACATTCCAATAATCCATAGAGCAAAAATAATTTTCCTCTGTTGTTTTTAAGGTCATAGTTCATGGCTTAGATGAATAGGCCTCATTTAACCTAATGGACTATCTTGTCCCCAGAGGTGAGTCTGGCCCCCAGTCTTGCCTTCTGCCAAGTGTTGTGGGGATCAGAGAGTCGCACTGGGGTGGTTGGTGGCTTGAGAACCTACCCTCCACTTTTTAATTTCTCTTTTAACCCTGTTCTTATTTTGTTCTTCCTTCTTTTTAATTCTGTTTTTTACTACGGTATGTGTCTTTTATATGATTTTATGGCTTGCGGCCAGAATCACTTGGTAGTGAAATGAGCACTGTCTAAATTTGTTAGGTTAGGTTAGATTAGATGATTAGATTGACCAGAACCTATATTTGTAGGCATTTATTTAATCTGGAAAAAAATGCTTTCTACAATGTCATCTAACTAAATATTTTTTAAAATGTATTTTTAGGTGTTTGACCTAACCAAAACAACTCCAGCAAAAGCACTCCAGCTTTGTACCTGGCTACCTAGCAATTCTGTCAGAGTCCTTGTTTGTGGTGGAGATGGCACGGTGGGTTGGGTCCTGGATGCAATTGATGGCATGAAACTAAAGGTATGGTGTTT